TAGTTTCACTTTTCCAAAATAATGATTTTGTTTTCATCTTCTGGATTCTAAGAATCATGTAGCACCTTGTATTTCCCAATTTATTTTGGCTGCTACAAACACTGGACCAAATTTATGTCATATATATAACAGCAAATAATAATCTTACTACTGGCTTCAATAATAATTCAATATGGTACTAATTTTCATGGTTGCCAAATCCATTATACAACTTAGCAGAATGTAAATGGGAGGCAAGGAAGGTATTGTTTGGTGAAAGCAGAAGGTGTGGGTGAGAAGTAAGTATTTTAGCTAAGTGATACTGGCCTAATCAAGTTCTCAATTTTAAACTGATCTTACACAATTAGAATATACTTTTACATCATTCAGGGATGTTATAAGCTGAAAACTAACAAAAAGCCATATAAACATAGACTTTGAAAAAGTAAGTGATTTTCTTATGCAGTATCATGTCCAGGGTTGAGTAACCCAGAGCTGGTGTAGGCTCTGTCTTCCTAATCAAAGTTTTTTTATGTGATTTATTTTTCAGACATGAGTAAGAGAAAAGACAAAGATAAAATGGCAGTTTTCTATAGGGACTTCCTTCAGTATCTCATTGGCCCAAACTGTACCACCAGGTCACCCCTAACTGCAGAGGAAGCTTGAAAATCAAGTTATTTTAAATGTCTAATCCCCACTAAATGAAGATAAAGACAGAATAAGTGAGAAAGGGTATAAAATGGACCCCAAAAGTATGTACCTTATTTTGTTAGTACATTGTTTACCTGAAGAAAATCTCACACAGACTGTCTAAAAAACCAATACACACAAAAAAAGTCATCAAGGAAGTAAAATTGAGAACAGAAGAATGCATATTATATTTCTGCAAATATTAGGATTTAATTTACTGACATATATCACTATCCAAATAATTTATTTCTAGTTTAGTTTCTCATATTTTCTAAAACATGGACAGTGACTTGGAGAGGACTGTTTAATATGACACAATATGACATCTGAAGTGAAAACTGGTCTTTGAGTTTAAAGAACTGGGTTTCATTTGATTACATTACTTATTACTTGGATGACTTGTTATATGTAACATTTCTGTCTCATTTTTCTCATCTAGCAAAGGATAAAAATTTCTGCTTTAAAAATTTCTTGTGACTATTATATGAAATGCAATATATGAAAGTGTCTGGCATATAATACACACTCAACAAATGTTCCTTTTTTTCCAAATAAGATTTAAAACAGAGACCATGAGACTATTCATGGAAGATAATCATTTTTAATTACAATTTCTAAGTTGTCTTTTGTGTAGTAAAGAAATCTAGGAGAAAAGGAAAAAATCTAATCTAAAATGTAAGCAACATTCTTTACCAAGTACAAAGCTAAGTATTTTATACATTTTATTATGTTGTCTTTCATTAAAAAACTTAACACATCATAGTATTCTTTTCTTGGTAGTATATAAATGCATAATAAGATAAAATGTTTACTTCATACCCCTTAAACAACCAAGGAAAACATAAATTAATATTTGTACATTCACAATGATACAATATTCCCATTTTCCATTATAGCATCTTCATGTCAGCTATTGAAAGCTATACTATGTCCCTCTGGGAAGAAAAGAAATTCTAAATAGCATATCATGACATAGTGTTTCAGAAAAGAAAAATAGTTTCCTGAAAATATATCATGAAATCAATATATTTCCACAAGTGACCAGCTTAATCACCCAACCCTCCAGTCAAAAGAATTCCAATTGAAATGCTGTACTGCCTCTCTCTCTTTATAACTGAATCTACTCAGCAGTACATTGACCGTTTTACAGGAGAAAGTAGATGTGGAGAGTTATGTATTGACTTGAAAGAAGGGCACTGCAAGTCTCACCAGAAGGCTCAATGCCTGTGCTTAGAAGTAATCAATAATTTTTTAAAATCACGCTTATAGTTCTAGCTATTTGCTTCTGTCAAATATATTATGGTGATCCTTTGTGCCCTAAAAATTGCATAAATATTGCAAAAATAAATTTTCTACTCGATAAAGGCACTAACTTTTTTTTTGCCTTTTCCTTTTGAGGTTTATAAGCCACAAAAGTTATAATTCCATGTTCTTCAAAAGTAAAAAAGAAATATTTCTGTACTATAACAGGGTCCAGGAAAACATCATTAATATTTAGAGAAATATTAGAGGAATTTTAGAGGACTATCATATGTATATGAAATATTTAAAGTTCTTTTACAAGTATCTTCTTTTTCTCAGGATTTCTTTCACTGTATTCTACAAAACTACTTATTAGAAATAAAAAAAACACCATTTTCCCACTTTTCTTTCTCAAAAGCAAAGAAGAAATAATGATCAGTACAACTGAGGCAAAAGTGAACTCTCATGGTTTGATTATTTGCCTGGCAAAACAGAAGTGCTGCCTGCCACAGAATCATTCTTTCTATAAAAGACAAACTCCTACCTTTTCCATACGGCAAAAGAACTTGTCTCATTTCTGAAATTGATCTAGAAATACCATGTGGCTATTTTAGTTGGAGATTCCCCTCTAGGAGAGTGATGTATGGTCTGCAATATCCTCTGCTTGGAGCTTATGTTCTGATAAAGAAGATGATTGAGACAATAACTCTTTATTATTTCTTTATCAGAGTTGTGTCTCTGCACTCTGTCAAATACTTCTATGTTATCATGCACTGCTAACCTGACAAAGTCTATTACTTTATTTAAGCCACAAGGTTGTTTGTGAGTCTGCAAGCCTAGAGTTAAGACCCAACCATGTAAACAATAACAAACATATCTTTTAGTAATTCTTTGCATTTGATTTATATTCACTTTATTAATTTCATTGGGCGTTAAGCTGTTCATTTTAAGTTTTTCACATCTTTGCACCAAATTAATGTAGACAACCCTTACAGCAATAAGTTACATTGCTTTTATTACAGATATCAGCTCTGACACATTCCCAGCCTTTGACCTTGGACAAGTTACTTAACCTCTGTATTCCTTAGTCTTTAGTACTAAAAATGAAGGTAATTATAATCTTTATATGAGATACTATACATCATTATATTGACATATCAGGGTATAGCTATTATTAGGAGAGCAAAATCTTTAAATGCTTATTTCTATCATCAGAAGAAAAAGAGTAAGCACTCTTTTCAAAAAAAAAAAAAAAAAGAGAGAGAAAGTGCAGTTTTAGCAACACCCTGTAGCTACCTATGTCAGAACCAGTATACATGGAATGAGGGTTTTATATCAGATCAAACCAACAGGCAAGACTAGAGAGATATTTGAGGATGAAACTGTGGTGTCCTTAAAGAAATTTGGATTTTAACCCACATGAGAACACTGGCCAAGGGACTTAAGTAAAGACCAATAAAATCATTTTTGTATTGGTCAAAGATTTCTCAATTTATAGATGTATGAGAGTACAAGACTGGAGAGTTGGACAGCAAGTGGTTGTACAGACAAGATAATCAAGTCACTTATTAAAGTACAGGGAATCCCGCTGAAGATGAGAATGAGAGGAGAGATTCTAAGAAGACAGAATGTACAGGACTACATGGCTGATTTGGTATGAGACAAAAGGAAGTAAAGGAGCTTTGGGATATGTGCATCTACAAACTAGGAGAAATTTGTGCTGGAAATTCAGATTTGGAAAAAGTTGGATCAAATCCTAGGAGCTGCTAAGCTTCACCAGAGAGTGTATAGTGAGAGAAGTCCAAAAATAATGTCTAGAGAACAGAATTATCTTTACCCTGTCCTTGTTAACCCAGAAAAGAGGAAAATGAACTGGAGGAAAACTAGATAAAGTAGGAGAATCTCAGAAAAACTGGTGTGGTGAAAGTTCTGAAACAGACTGAGGAAGTTGCCTCATTAGGAACTGATAAAAATCGTGTTAGATTAGGATATAAAAGTTTCAGCAGTGGTAAATTAACAAAAAAGATAGATGTCCATCACAGCTCAGGCTTCACATGGTATAAGAAAATGGGGAGGACTAAAAGAAATTGAGATGATAATTAATCTGAGAGAAGTCAAGCTAAACAAACATAATTTTATAACGATTATCATATGTGTACATGCAGATATATATACTTGATATAATTATTATTAAATTTAAGAAATTTAAAAATTATTAAAATTGCCTACACTTCATGACAAAAATATTTGAAGACTACTACAGAGAGTTTATGAATTAATTTTCTTTTTATTAGTGGTTACTTAGTGTTCTCTGTTTCTCTTCTATTATGCTAATATTTTGCTTTTGATGTTTAGAAATATTGCAATGAATTTGATACAAATTATCTTAAATGAATAGTGAACAAATAAAATATTGATGTTAGGCTTGTTAACTATCCCAAAAAGAAAATGCAAAGCTATTTTATAAAAGAATAATTAATGGAGTTCTATTTAGATGCTTTCAGTGAATAGATAAATGCATTCTTTTTCAGACATCAAATGTAGAAGCTATAAGATTTTCTTCATGGAAGAAGTACTTAGTATTTGTAGCATAAGCACCCCAAAATCCTCTGAATCCAGCACACATCTAATCAAGATAAATGCCAGTAATCTAAATGAATTTAATATGCTGCACTTCCAGGTTTACTCTCCTGAAGTTTCAGTGTGTCTCCACAGAAATATTGCAACATTTGCATGGGTGCTCGAAATTACATTTACCAGAGAAATTGTTTAAAAAGTCAATGGATACCATCCATCTGATCTGTTTGGCTTGTTGGGAGCAAGGGTAAAATACATATGAAAATAATTCACCACAAAGCAGTTGAGAAGGGGTCAAGTGGTAGAGGGAGGTCAAAGGAGAGGAAATCCACAGAGGTAATAAACCTTGTAATATGTGTATCCTAAAGAGGGCCACCGTATTGGGAATACAAAGAAGGTTGGGCAGATGGAGAGAATATGAATCTTCAAATGCAAGATATCAATTGAAATTTATTCTGAGTATTTTCATATCCTATACTTGACAAATAAGTGCCTCAAAAAATAAAAGTTGAGTGCTCACCTCAGCATCACACATGCAAAAAGTGGAACAATACAGAGATTAGCATGGCCCCTCCACAAGTATGACACATAAATTCATGAAGTGTCCCTTGGCACAAACCCCACAAGCCAGAAGAGAGTGGGGTCAATGTTCAACATCTTTAAAGGAAAGAACTTTCAAACCAGAATTTCATGTCCAGCCAAATTAAGCTTTATAAGCGAAGCAGAAATAAAATCCTTTATGGACAAGCAACTGCTGAGAGATTTTGTTGCTACTAGACCTGCCTTACAAAGGCTCCTGAAGGAAGCACTAAACATAGAAAGGAACAACCAGTAATAACCACTGCAAAAATGTACCAAATTGTAAACACCGTCAACAAAATGAAGAAACTGCATCAACTAACAGGCAAAACAAACAGCTAGTATCAAAATGGCAGGATCGAATTCACAAATAACAACATTAACCTTAAATGTAAACAACCTAAATGCCCCAATCAAAAGACACAGGCTGGGATATTGGATAAAAAGTAAAGAGCCATCAGTGTGCAGTGTTCAGGAGACCCATCTCACATGCAAAGACACACCACATAGACTCAAAATAAAGGGATGGAAGAAGATTTACCAAGCAAATGGAGAGAAGAAGAAAAAAAGCAGGGGTTGCAATCCTAGTGTCTCATAAAATGTACTTTGAACAAAGATCAAAAGAGAAAAAGAAGGGCATTACATAATGGTAAAAGGCTCAATGCAACAAGAAGTGCTAACTTTCCTAAATATATACACCAAATACAGGAGCACCCAGATACATAAAGCAAGTTCTTAAAGACCTACAAAGGGACTGAGAATCCCACGCACTAGTAGTGGGAGACTTTAACACTCCATTATCAATATTAGACAAATCAATGAGACAGAAAATTACAAGACTGTCCAGAACTTGAATGCATTCCTGGACCAAGCAGACCTAACAGACATCAACAGAACTCTCCACCACAAATCTACATACTATACATTCCTCTCAGCACCACATTGCACTTACTCTAATATTGACCACATAATTGGAAGTACATCACTCCTCAGCAAATGTAAAAGAAGGGAAAACATAGCAGTCTCTCAGACTGTAGTGCAATCAAATTAGAACTCAGGATCAAGAAATTCACTCAAAACTACACATCTAGATGGAAATTGAACAACCTGCTCCTGAATGACAACTAGATAAACAATAAAATGGAAACAGAAAAAAATATATTCTGAGAACCAATGAGAATGAAGACACAACATACCAGAATCATTGGGACACATTTAAAGCAGTGTCTAGAGGGAAATCTATAGCAATAAATGCCCCCCTGAGAAGTGAGGAAATATATGAAATCAACACCCTATCATCAAAATTGAAAGAACTAGAGGAGCAAGATAAAAAAAAAAACTCAAAAGCTAGCAGAAGACAAGAAATAATGAAGATAAGAGCAGAACTTAAGAAGGCAGAGACACAAAAACACCTCAAAAAAAATCAGTAAATCCAGAAACTAGTTTTTTGAAAAGATCAACAAAACAGACAGACCACTACCCATACTATTAAAAAGGAAAACACAGAAGAATCAAATAGATGCAATATAAAATGTGATATCACCACTGATTCCACAGAAATAAAAAATACCACAAGAGATTACCACAAACAACTCTATGCAAATAAACCAGAAAATCTAGAAGAAATGGATAAATTTCTGTACACTTGCACCCTCCCAAGACCAAATCAGGAAGAAACTGAATCCCTGAATAGACCAATTACAAGGTCTGAAATTGAGGCAGCAATTAATAGCCTACCAACCAAAAAAAGTCCAGGTCCAGACATGTTCAAATTCTACCAGATGTACCAAGAGGAGCTGGTACCATTCCTTCTGAAACTATTGCAAACAATACAAAAAGAGGGAATCCTCCCTAAATCATTTTATGACACCAACATCATCCTGATACCAAAACCTGGCAGAGACACAATTGAAAAGGGAAATTTAAAGCCAATATGCATGATGGACATTAATGTAAAAATCTTCAATAAAATACTGGCAAATTGATGCAACAGCACATCAAAAACCTGATCCATCATGATTAAGTAGGCTTCATCCTGGGATGCAAGACTGGTTCAACAACCACAAACCTATAAATGTAATCCATCACATAAACGGAACCAAAGACAAAAACCACATAATCATCTCAGTAGATACACGATTAACAGACAAACGGAAAGACCAATCATGAGCCAACTCCCATTCACAATTGCTATAAAGAGAGTAAGATACCTAGGAATACAAATAACAAAGGATGTGAGGGACCTCTTCAAAGAGAATTACAAACCACTGCTAATGAAAATAAGACAGGATACAAACAGATGGAAACATTCCATTCTCATGGTTAGAAAGAATCAATATCATAAAAATGGCCACATGGCCCAATGTAATTTATAGATTTATTGCTATCCCCATCGCTACCATTGAACTTATTCACAGAACCGGAAAAAAGAACCATAAATTTCATATGGAACCAAAAAAGAACCCTCATAGTCAAGATAATCCTAAGCAAAAGGAACAAAGCTGGAAGCCTAATGCTATTTGACTTCAAACTATACTACAAGGCTACAGTAATCTAAACAGCATGGTACTGGTACCAAAACAGAGATATAGACAATGGAACAGAACAGAGGCCTTGGAAATAACACCACACATCTACAACCATAAGATCTTTGACCAACCTGACAAAAACAAGCAATGGGGAAAGGATTTTCTGTTTAATAAATGATGTTGGGAAAACTGGCTAGCCACATGCAGAAAACACAAACTAGACCCCGTCCTTTTACTGTATGCAAAAATTAAGTCCAGATGCATTAAAGATTTAAACATAAAAACCTTAGAAGAAAACCTAGGCAATACCATTCAGGACATAGGCATAGGCAAGGACTTCATGACTGAAACACCAAAAGCAATGCCAACAAAAGCCAAATTGACTAACAGGATCTAATTAAACTTAAGAGCTTCTGCACAGCAAAAGAAACAATCATTAGAGTGAACCAGCAACCAACAGAATGGTAAAAAATTTTGCAAGCTATCCATCTGACAAAGGGCTAATATCCAGAATCTTCAAATAATTACAGCAGATTTGCAAGAACAAAACAACCCCATCCAAAAGTGGGCAAAGGATATGAACAGATATATTTCAAAAGAAGACATTTATGCAGCCAACAAACATGAAAAAAGGCTCATCATCACTGGTCATTAGAGAAATGCAAACCAAAACCACATTGAGATACCATCTCACTCCAGTTAGAATGGTGGTCATTAAAAAATCTGTAGACAACAGATGCTGGAGAGGATGTGGAGAAATAGGAACACTTTTACACTGTTGGTGGGAGTGTATATTAGTTCACCCATTGTGGAAGACAGTGTGGCAATTCCTCAATGATCTAGAACTAGAAATACCATTTGACCCAGCAATCCCATTACTGGGCATATACACAAAGGATTATAAATTGTACTATTATAAAGACACAAGCACACGTATGTTCATTGCACCACTGTTTACAATAGCAAAGAACTGGAACCAGCCCAAATGCCCATCAATAACAGACTGGACAAAGAAAATGTGGCACAAGTACACCATGGAATACAATGCAGCCATAAAAACAATGAGCTCATGTCCTTTTCACAGACATGGATGAATCTGGAAACCATCATTCTCAGCAAACTGACACAAGAACAGAAAACCAAATGCTGCATGTTCTCACTCATAGGTGGGTGTCTGTTGGGTGTTGAGGGGTAGGAGAGGGACAGCAGTGGGTGGGGAGTTGGGGAGGGATAACATTTGAAGAAATGCCTGATGTAGGTGACAGGGGGATGGAGGCAGCAAACTACCATGGCATGTGTGTACCTTTGCAACAAACCTGCAAGATCTGCACATGTACACCAGAACTTAAAGTATAATAAATAAATAAATGTTGAAAGGGAGAAGATGAATATATGTCATATTATATCCTTCATACTATAAAGTTAACTATTTTACAAATAATTTAAAATGCAATTAAAATTTTCTTCCATGAGAAATAAATCAGAAATATAAAATACTTATGTGAGTTATAAACCAGACACTCCAGTAGTGACCAGTCACATAGACCACACTGCTAATGCTGATACAAGTAGTCACCAATGTGGTGGTCCTAAAAACTCTGTGTTTTTCGTTCTTATTTTAGAATACCTAATACCTTGTATTTAATATTAGAATGATGAAAGACCATTAGGAAACACATAACAGCCCTCACTCGCCCTTGGGTAATAAATACATGAAATGTATACTTTTGTAAAACAAAAATTTAATAAACCTAATGAGTCAAATATTTTTTCTTATTAAAGGTTTAAGAATAACAAGACTTTTCAATTATATGATTTTTAAATTTTAAGAATATGCTTCCTATTTCAATAATACTAGAATACATTTTGTAAAAACTAGAAATGAAATATTGGTAAACCTTTAAACAATAAGATTCTTGCTCTCTATATAAAACAATTCATCTCCATTGATTTTTTTTTTTGCCTTAATAGTCTGTAAGCCAATTTCCAAACCCACTAAAGCACAACTTCTATATTATGAGGTATTCAGAACGTCTCTGTGCCTATATTTTTATCCTTATATTTAAACACACATACACACAGGTTATACACAATTATTCTTACCATGTATCTTCTTCAAAATTTTCAATATATAAAAATTGCACTGACCACTAATCTTAGTGATTTAAGTACTTTTATTAGTAATTTGTGAACATTTAATATAATTATTGTAGCAATATCTAAAGGAAACAAAGCTGTCAGTGCACATACATCATTCTAATATGAGACCTCTGAAAAAAGAAGGTGAGTTAGCATGTTTTGTCCTGGGAAGTTAAAAGGGTAAGTTAATTTATGCTCACAAAGAAAAATCAATAGCACATTGTGCACAAAAGAAGAATCAATCATTATTTCTATGGCCTTGATAGTCATAATGAAATAAATTTATTGAGGAAAACATTCCATTCAAATAGGAATTGAGTTGGTCACAAAAGTCACTAAGCTCATCAGAGGCATAATCAAGACCCTTGCA